ACCAGGGCGGTCGCGTCAGAAAACTACTCAACTCAGGCCCTCGACCTGGCAAACACCGAGCTTGAATCTCTCGAATGGGCAACTGCTGAGACAAATTTTTGGGCCCTAGAAGTTGACACAGCAAGTATGCAGCCACTGGAACCGACCACGAGTTACCTAGGAGACTCAGCCTAACATCTTCGTGCTCTAGAGGGCGTAGCTTGCGGTCTGCCTTGGGCCAACACTCCAATGTATATTCAAGAGGGAACCCCAGCATGACCTCCCTCTCGGAAATGTTTGGCATGCGCCATCCATGCTTCTTGTGAACAAGCCCGTGCTGGTACTTGTACTGGTAAGGAGGGAAACGGTAGCGATCACTTTCCCAGTACTTTAGGTCTCGCTGACTGTATGTTTCTACTCCCGCAGGTTTGAAGCCTGGCTGGCCTTTCGGCTGAGCAGATGTGAAGGTAGGCAGTTTGTGATCACGGCCGCCAGCCAACTCCCACCCTGGCGGCAGGAACTCTTCTGTTGCTGGATCTATGTTGAACTCTATCCTTCGCAGTCCCAGGAGGATGATGTTTCAGGCTTTGTGATTGACACCCCTTCTTCTGCTAATGCAGCCCAACTAAACCAAAACATTCTTGACCTACGGCACGGCGCAAGGCCTTGGGCATCCAACTCGTAAGGAAGGATTCCTATGGATCGAGTCATGCATACCCTGTCATGTTCCGCCATAGAGGAAACACTCTCCATCAGGACGCGCGCAGATGCCCAGTGAAAGTATTTTCCAAGGAGCTCACGAACCCGTGGAATCTCCAAATGCAATTTGGACCGGTGGTCCAACTCAGCACCCAGACGGGATGCATTCAGACCAGAAACCCCTTGACAAGGGGGGCCCCCCGTTAACAGGACGAGCCCTACCCTCGAATATGCGCAAGCCCAACGGCGAACCATGTCATCATCAATCTCCTGGACCCTTTGCACAAACTCTGTGGAACCAAAAGATGCTTCGACAACCCGTTTCGCTGCCTCATCTTCCTCGACAGCTATGTAGCCGCCGACCTTTGCGCCAATCGCATCCAAGGCTACACGACACGCCCCAATTCCATCAAACATGGAGATGACCAAAACTTGGACATCATCATGCCCCCTGTCCAAAACGCTTTTCACAGGCTTGGAAGCCGCGTTGATTCCAAAAGCGGGATCAACCCTGAAGTGAAGGACACACCTCCACCTGACTCGGATGCATCCGACGCGGACACAATGGGGTCATAAGGCAATCGAAGGTCCATGACAGACAACGGGGCAAGGGACATGCTTGCAAACAACTCCAACTTCACACTTTGGGGGATGTGTTTCCAGAGATTAGTTTGATTTTTAAAGGAGGCAATAAAGACCCATGTATCATTCAGGCAAGACATTAGGCACCTGCGGTAGCTGAATAGGTACACCAACCCGATTGCTCTGAAGCAGATACCATGCGCCCCTCAAGTAGCGAGCTACCTTGTCTAGCTTTGGGGAAATGGTTCCTTTCATCCCGTTGACCAAACCCCCTTGCATTTCCCCTTGCAAAGATGACTTGACAGACTTCTTCTCATTAACCGGAACTTGCAAGGTGTCATAAACATCCCTGAGCTCCGCAGCCAGAGGGCCGAGATGACCATCCAGAAGTGCTGAGGCTGCCTGGTTGGTTTTTACCAACATGTCAAATTATCCAAGTAGACTCGGTAGCCCAAGCTTCCCGAAGGCAAGGGCTGATCTCTCCGAATCTCAGCATCGCGGCTGATCCCCAAAACATCCACTGCGCGATTTACAATGTCCCTATGTAAGGCCTGAGCGATTGCCACACTGTTTATGAACCCCATTGGGAGGACTCGGCTTGTAAGCACGCAAGGCCCTTCAAACCCTGGTGGCTTCAGTTTAGGTGGAACCTCCCTCCCGAAAGCCAGGAGGGGGCGCCACGCTGCAGGTAAACCGATTACGTAAAACATCGCCTTGATATCTTCTGAGGATATCAGCAAAGTTTCGTCGGGAAAAATTTCTAGAGGGAATAGTTGGCTAAGCATTGGAAGGGCGCTGAGATCTCCGGCTATAGATTCAAAGCAAAGGTTGACAGGGCGGAGGTCCATGATCAACCTCAACACTGGCACTCCATTGACCTCCTCCCCTTTAGAACATCCCTCCAAGGATTGGTTGCCCATCTACGTGCAACACATCTTGCAGCGGGATTACGTCACAGATACCTCGGGACACTAGGCCTGTAGCCACTTCGCCCCAACAAGCATTAGGGACCATAACGCGGGGGCATTTAGTCCACATGCGCTTGTTCTCGGGCTTAAGGTAGCTAATGGGGTTTGCGAGAAAATCCTTGACCCCCCCCTGGGTAACCTCCAAGGCATTCAAAACCCCAGCTACTTCCCTCTGCGGCAAACTGTGTTCAATGTTTTCCCAACGAAGGCTCACGGGACAATGAATCTCTTCCCCATACCCATTAACACTACGAGCCTTCCAATACTCCTCAATGCAGGTCACATCAAACTCATGCGCCTCCCATGTGGATAGCTGACCCGCAGAGGAGCATAGGACCTGTAGTAATGATGCTTGATGCTCACTCGGCTTCTGAACAGACGATTGCGCTCTTCCGCAAGCAAGCCAGTTCAATGCTTTGACAATGGCCTGCAGCCAGTGGTGAACATGCTCGGAGAGCGACGGCTCCCTCTCCGGCAAGGGCAGAGGAAACACTTCTGCCGAGCGGGGATGCTTGCCCGGGTCTAAGAAACCAACATGAGACTCGTTCACAGCAACATTTTCAATCCAGTGATCAAGGAGTTTCCCCAATTTGCCTAAGCGGCCCGCAAGGTCTTTTGGGAAATCTGTGCTTTCTGTCTCTCGGCATTGCGGAATTGGATCAAGCGGCACTGCAGGCATGCACTCAGTTGACTGAAACTCTGGCTCGCAACCCTCGTCTAATCCCTGACTGGTATCACTTCGCTCGCCTGAGAATGGCCCCCCTTCGGATTCTGAGGACAAGATTTCCAGGACCCCTTGTTTGTCTTCCCATCCTTGCCTTTTCCCTTTGGGTCCTTGCCTCCTTTCGCACCCTGATCGCCCTTTCCTTTCCAGGAGGTTTTTACCCGGTCCTCCCGACGTTGTTCTTGGGCTGCTGTCTTGGCCTCCTCGATTGAGGCGAGGGCTGCGATTTCGGGCGCGATCAACTCCAATCTGTTTGCCAGATGGGGAGGTACGCCTTGGCTGATCTGCTCGATTGATTTCAGGCGTTGTATGGCGAAATCTGCTGCTTTCAAAATGTCCCCCTCTAATATAGAGTCCAAAATTGTGGCAAGAGTCAAATACTCTCGCTTCATGGGAGTGCTGGCCCCGGACTGCATGAAGATCTGGCGATAATACTTGACGAACGCGGCCCGAGGAGTCAGGCCATGAGCATCCTCGCCCACCTCCAGGGCCAACCTCTTGCGGGCCTCCCGAAGCGCATGTCTTGTCAGGAGGCCTGGGCATTTGCGAGCGATGTGCCGCGCCTGTCCTTCCTCTGGGAAAAGATCCTCCTGTTCGGAGGTCTGGGCTGAGGACTGCTCTGCATTGCTGCTGTCGCTGCTGGAACTCCTTTCGCGCTTCCTTTTGAGACTGATCTTTGGTCGTCTGAACGCGGGATCTAGTGAAGACCCCTTCCAGGACCAGGCGCTTGCCTTCAGCATTGCCCTCACGCGTTCTTGCCCTTTCAGTTTTTTGGGTTTTTTCGGTGGCTCCTCCCCTGCGGGCCTCATGGGAGGAATCGGCAGTGGCTTGTTCTAGACCTGGGAGACCCGGACCCTCTCGAATTTGATTTCCACTCTAAGGCAGGGTCCACTTCCTTCAGCTCGACTACTGAGAACAATCCCCCCAGTTTGAGATCGATAGGTTTCACCAAAGGCTTCATGTTGGCATAAAACTCTCCGGCCTGAGCCCGCTTCCATTCTCTTATGGTGGCATTTGGACTCCCAGTGAGGGCTAACTTCATCCATTCGCCTTCGGTATCCCGCAGAACGGCTTCCACCTCCCCGACGCATTCTGCCTCGTCTCCCTGAAATAAGCCCTTCAAGTGCAACTGTTGACCAACCTCGACTTTGAAGTCCCTGAGAGGTACCCAACCCGATGTCAAGAGCGGCTTGTCGCCAGCTCTCGTTTTTTGTGGAGGTCTGCGGGAAGGTGTGCTCGCGCTCGCTTCGGCTTAGGTAAAGGTTTGGGTGACCTATGACCCTCAGCAAGTGGAGCACGACGATTCCTGGCCTTAGCCTTCGCGGCAGCTGGTCTCCGGAGGCGAGGTGCCATCGGGAGCTCCTCCACGCCGATCCTTCCCTACCAGTCTGTCACGATAAGCAATTCCTCGTTCCCGATGCTTTTTACCCTTGTTCTTCTTAGCGCAACGCCCCCACTGTTGATAATAAGACCTGTCCTCACTAGCACCCCTAGATGTTCGTGCTGGAGGAGGTGGAGGAGTTGGTGGCCTAGGCCGCAATTCCAATCTCTCCCGTCTTCTTTCCTGATTTCGATGCGATCGCTTGTCCTTGCCTGTATCTTTGCGCTTAGGAGATCTCTCTTCGGAAATCGAGGACGAACCCTCAGGCAAGTTCCCTCCCGTATCAGGAGGAATTGATGGCTGCTCGGTATTTGATGGCGGTGCTTGCAAGGGAACAGCCAACCACGAATTAACCTCACCCAAAGCCCGTTCCAAAATGGATGTTGCCAGGTCGTAATTCGCGTTTGTGAGGCGGGAATCAAACGGTAGATCAAGAATAGCCTTTCCAACCCGGCACAGACCACAAATAGGTGCCCCTGACGTACTACACCAGCGTTGACACTGACTGCACGCCAAGGGCCCGTCCATCCTAAAACACGAAAACGTGAATTCATTGTCTCAGTAACTCAAGGGAAGCATTGGTCTCCTGGAATTCTGTCCAAGCTCGGTCTGGCTCACTTCTAGTCACAGCTGCCCGCTGCATTTCACCGTTTAACCAACTGGCGTCCTCGGGGGCCTCCTTGGGCACCAGATTGAAAGCCCCAGAGTGCGCGCCCACCACAACAGGCAACAGCCCAGCCTGAGCTGAGGCGAAAATGTCAAGACAAAACAACTTGAAACTTTTTCCTGCACGGTTCTCTGACAATTCAAGCCTCCGCGCACTTGATGTACACATCCTTAGGCACGGCCTTGTTCACCTGCAAAAAGCAAACGTTCTCCAGGTGGCCAAAGTGCAGTCCAATGCATGTCTTGCCTCCCACTCGCTCACGAAGGGCAGAATGTGCTCCTCCACAAAGCTACGACACCTGGCAAGCCCAGTTCAAACCACGCGACACGTGCATACAGACCTAACTCAACTCCTGCCTGGCACGCCAAGCCTGACACACTATGAGCTTTGACCTCCCTTTCAGATCCAAGGCAGGCCTTATGCGTCTCTTTGTAGTATGGGCTGTGGTAGGCCTGCACACACACGGACAACTCTACTCAAAAAAGCCGCCACAACACTGTTCTGAGGGACCCCGTTGTACCAGTTGGGATCTCCATAAGGATTCCCTGCGCCAAAGCTCGCCATGGACCCTGGGCACTCAAAGCAAAACCCGCAGCTCCACATTCCCAAGTCTCCAGGCTGGCAGTTCACACTGACAATTCATTCTGAAAGCTGGGGGACAAGCACAAATATTTTGACTGCGCTGGAGGTCTACTGCACAGTCCGCACTGCATAAACCAAGCATGTGAATGCTGTGACATGCTCTCACAAGTCTGCAAAGCGAAAAGAACTAGTTCATTGAGAGACGGGCAATACGAAATCGGGCTCTGTTGTTCGCAAAGCACAAGCTGCAAGCGCTCGGAGACTCATTGCTGGCAATGTTGCCTATATACACACTAAAGCTGTGAGAGGGCCACAAGCCTTTGAAGTCTGAAGGCCAAAGGGGTGGCTCTGAGGCTCAGTAGGGTGCAGAGCGCTCCGACGGAGCTTCCTTGATCGGCCCTGGCTCAGCTGGAACAGCTTGGCCAGTCGGGCCGCCAGGTGCCCCACACATGCCAGGCATGCAGCCTGCAGCTCCGCCAGCTTTGCAGCTGCAAGCAACATGCAGCGTACGCAGCGCACGTAGCGCACCTGGCATGCAGCCCATCGGCATGCCACCCATGCCTCAGCGATAAGCCCAGCTGAAAGGAATCGAGAACCTGCTCAAGGCTTCCAGCCCATCATCGGGCAGCCGCCCATGCACGGCATTCCTGGCAAACCCACCGGCTGCTACATAGTCTGACACTGCAGTTTCATCCAAGCGCGCTACCCATCATGGGACAGCCTGCCATACCTGTGCACACAAACACGGACAAAACAATCCTTCGGCATTGCTCTGGTAGCGAGTCTAGAAATGAATGCCTGCCATGGGGCAGCCAGTGGGGCAGCCAGCAGGGCAGCCAGCAGGGCAGCCAGCGGGGCAGCCTGTAGGGCAGCCGCCTGCACTCGGCGCACCAGCGGGCGCAGCTGGCGCGCCGTCACCCTTCTCCTGACAGAATGCCGAACAAGGCAAGCTTAGTTTCTCGATAGGAGTCCTCTCCTTCCTAGTCGATTATTAATAGGAGTCCTCTCATTCCTATGAAGTTCCTTCACTCCTAACAAATCCTGGATAGGAGTTCTCAATTTTACTGGATTGTCAGTGCCATCAGACTCTCGCTACGACTCCTCTCATTTCTACTAGATCCTCAACAGGAATCCTCTCATCCACGTAAGAAATTCTCATTCCTAGTACAATTCTTGAGTCAAGTCCTCTCATTCCCAGTTCTAGCAGCTTCTTCAATGAACTCCTGTCATACCTATCAAATTTTAAGCAGGAGTCCTTGTACTGCTTGGAAATTCTGAATAGGCGTCCTCTCATTCCTGCTCCAATTTTGGCAGGAGCCCTCCCCATTCCTGCTACACTCTCAATGAGAAAGCCCTCAGTCATACTGAATTCTGAATGGGAGTCCTTTCACTCCTATCAGATTATCCATGGGGCTCCTCTCATTCTGATCAAACTCTTGAGCAGGGTCCTTTGACTTCTATTTCGTTATTCATAAGCGCACTGTCAGGCGCATTAGAATCTTCAAAGCAATTCTCTCCTGCTCATTGGATTCTCAATCAAAGTCCTCTCACTTAACGTAGATTCGAAAAATCATAGCTGGAGTCCTCTCATTCCCATTCAATTCTTAATAGGAAAGACTCTTAACAGGAATCCTCTCATCTCAACTTTATTCTGAGTAAGCGTCCTCTCATTCCATTCTTAGCAGTAAACAAATCCGAACCATTGTCCCTCATTCCTATGAGATTCTGAATACGGGTCTTCTCAATGAGAACTCCCATTCTCCTTGGATTGTCAATATGAGCCCTCTCAGTACTGTGGAGTGTGCTTGACACTGCCGATGATATTGGTTTGAAATAGTCCGCGAGAAGTTTGAGCGGAAAACTGATCCGCATACTACGGGACCAGCCCCTCACCCACGGAAATGCAAAAGATTCTCAAGGCGTTTGGCCGAGGCAAGACTTGTGGCTGACTCTGCTCCTCAGCCGGCGAATTGCTGCTCTGGGCCGGTGTCGCCTCTCAACTGTTTGCTGTTTCTTCGCTTCCCCAACTCCCATCCCATGTTCCCTTCTCCACCTACACCCAACCTCGGAAGTTGATCCTGGGGCTCCAGGTGCAGCACCAGGTGCTGGGGCGGCGCCAGGAGCGCCGGGAGCCATGCCAGGCAGGCCTTAAGCTGTGAAGTGCGGGTGGCACTCAGATGGCCGGTTTGGCTGAGCTTTGGGCCGCAGCCCATCATGCCTGTCAGACTTTTGTTTCTAGTTGACTCTCTGGCCCTTTCGCGCGGCCTGGGCAACCACATCCCATCATCCTCAGGAGACAAGCGGACAACACAATCCGTTTAGGATGACCTAAAACAAAGCCAAGTGTCATGGGCGGCCGCATCATCATTGGGTTCATCATACCCATCATCCTCAGATGTGGCGCAGCAATTCTCCAGACAATGCAATATGCAGACAAGGCCCAGGCATCGGGTTCATCATCCCCATCATGGCCATCATGGGGTTCATGCCCATTGCCTCCCCTGGCAGAAGCGGACGTCAACCTGTAAAAGTTTGCTACAAGATGAGCCAAGCAGCCTTCCTTGCTGTCCTCCCCACCTTCGTCCTCACAGTGAAAAACATAACGTCTTCAAGGCCATGAGATTGAAGAAACTCCGCTGGTGCAAGGCAAGCCATGCTTCATTTGAAGATTTCCTGAGCCTTCCCACTGGTGTCTGCCTGTCAGCCTGTGTTGCTGCGGCATTGCTACCAGCCCCCTCGCTACCCGCTAGGACTTCTTCACATAGATGACCGACTGCATTCATGCAGAGGCGACATTCAGGCAACTAGGCATTGCCCCAGCCACAAGACGCTATGACACAGACGTTGAGAGACCTCAAAGTAATTAGCAACCTGCACACCATGAATCTTCAGAAGGCTATAGCAGAAGCGCAAGACAATGTTGCCGTCCTTCTGCATCGAAGCAGCCTGCTGCAGGTAGCGCTCAGACCACTTCTCCTCATAGTCCTCAGAAGCGTAGCAAGGGTTGCTTGGAGTTTTGAAAACATTTCGCCTTGCATTTTGGGTCCTCCTGCTGCAAGTCGTCCTCATGCTTCTCTTTCTTTCGGATCTCCTCCGCCTCCGGAAATGCATAGCCCACTCGTGAGCCTTGGACACTGAACCGCGGTCCAAAAGGACCCTAAATGTCTTATCATCTGGATCTCAATTTCCTGAAGTGGGGTGCACCATGGCGGGATGTAATTGTTGTGTAATCATTCTGCGCAGTGTGCAGTCCACTTTTGTGCATGCCATGCCAAAACGGTATGTTGGTTTTCCCTGACACACAAGGTCCGCACAATGGTGGCCCACTGTACCCACACAAATCAGGACCTCAGCTTCAAGGGCCACAGAAACATGGCTGGTACATGGACGGGGAAGTTCATGCCTGACCCTTGACTTGTTGAAACCACCATGTAGGCATGGCCAGAAGCCAACTTCATTCAAAGAATGTGCGAAAGATCCCGCTGTCAAACGTGTGACGTGCATTTGTGCTAACTTCCTATGCAACCGGACATCGAAAAAATTTGAAACCATGCACCCTCCATCAACCCTCATTGCTAAATATCTACTTTTGCGGGATTGCCTGCAATTGGTGGATGCAACCACGGTTTTGCGGAGCATACAGCCATGCCCGGGCTCGAACTATGTCTTAACAGTGAAGCTCCTTGAGGAAACTACTGGGTTGTTTTGAGACCTTGAAGTTGATGCATCCGTTTCTCGCGCGGGCATGTATGCAGGATTGCTTGGGCAAAGAATTTGTCCTTGGCATGAGAAGCACTTATTACAAACCTGATGCACATGGCGTCCTGCACGCATGCACACGCCAGCCGCGCGCACACGTAGATACAATCAAAAACATGCACTTTCCGCGAGCATTGCCTTTCTGTTGAGGTGCTTACTTTGACAATAATACGGCTCTCCTAATCACTTCCAGCGAGGCACCTTCTTCCTGCGACTGCTATGTCAGCTTGGTGTCTGGTCCTGAGCCTACATGTTGCAGATCAAACTGCTTCCTATGCATGCTCAACACTGCTGTACTGCAACTCCTGCAGAGCAGCAATGTTTGAAATACCGCCTTACAAGCTAGTGAATGATACATTGTATCCTGAACTGCGTTCTACATTAGCTGTTTCCTGCAACTGTGGGAAATGCGACTTCACACACATGTCACGGTATGCAAATTATTCCTTTGAAAAAAACGTCTGCGCAACATCCTATATTGCTTGGGGTATGCACCGCAGTCTTTCCTGTAAACAAGCAGAACAAAACAACACACTACATTCCTTCTATACACGCTCTGGTAGTAAGCGGTCGTTCCTGGTGGCTTCCTGGATCTTTGCGGCACTCCGGCGTCTATGAATCGATCAGCAGCTGATCAGCGAGGCGAGACAGTGTACGTTATAGCAAATGTGGTATGATCTTAGTGGCATGTGTGCTGGATGTTACATTGTACGGATGTGCGAGCCTGTGTTTGCAGATTTTCTGGCACATGATACAGCTTTTTTGAATGCGGGCGATGCTTCCAGAGCAGTGGGATGATTGAGAGTTGCTTGTATGCTTGGTTCCCTACGGGAAAACTCAGAAATGGAAGAGCGCATGCGGAGCATGGCAATGGAGGAGGCAAGGGCAAGGGGAAGGGAAAGACTGTGACCCATCAGGACACAGCGACAGCAGCCGAGTAAGAACAAGAGTTTTTGAGATCGGTTGCTGCATCTATGCCTTCGGCTGCTAGGGTTCGTACGCAGCCTCGGTTGTTGCCTGAGGAGTGGGAGGTGCCCATACGCAATTGGCAGGACATGGGGCCGGCGGGTGGGGTGGCTATTTGTCCCAAGGAGTGTCTGCCACAGGTGTTGGAGAAGGTGGGCTACACCTCGAAGGCGGCGGGGATCTTGGTTGCGCAGGATCCCGATACTTTGGGCTGTAAATCCTATCCGAGGACACGGGTGATGCGCAGCGATGACGTTGATTGTGGGGCGGGAGAGCGGACAGTCGTGCCGGTGGAGAGATACCTGGTTCAAGCGTTGGGGTCACCATGGTGAAGATGGTTGCCAGGATGAGCATTCAGAGAGTTTGGGCTTCGGGGCCTGGGTGTACATTGATCATTCA